TGTACTTCTGTTATGGTAAACAGTTACCCATAGCCTATGAACATCTGTGACACCACGGGTGTTACGTGCGCGTTGCCGACCCTTAAGAAACCTTAATATGGGTATATTAAGGTTTCTTCTTGAAAAATCCTATGCTGTCGTCTATGGAGAAAACCTCGGCAGGTAGTTCATTCCACAATCTAAGTGTACACGGGTGGAAGCTCCTCTGAAACCGCACTGTCCGAGACCACTTAGGTTCCAGTATGTTGGGATGAATTCCCTGTCGATGGCGAGCGGTGCGATGGTAAAAGGTAGCCATGGACACCATATCGAACAATCCTTTAACAACTCTATTTGTTAGGATCCAACAAATTGACCCAACAATTGGACCAATCTGTTGGATCGTGAAGGGTAATCGTGCCGTGCATTGTATATATACCATATCTGATATATGTATTGCATACGTATACCAATCTCCCTGCGATTTATGATATACTAGTAAGTATAACTTAGAAACCTAAGGATTTATAGCGTTTTCTCTTATTGGTTTTTTCATCGTGACTGCCTAACTTTCGTTTCCGGCTTCAATTCCCAAAATGTTCTTCATTTATCGGGGTGTTTATTTATATTATGTAGGTATTGTATGTCTATCAGTTATCTAGAAGTCATGGTACAAGCTCTGCTACATAAATTCGTTGAAACAATATCTCGAATCAATATTTTATTGATAAAGACTTCGTCTTCGATCTTTTTCTCACCTATTTCTGCTATTAAACAGTTTGTTTTAGTGATTTGGTTTTAAATAAAATGAAATGTTATTTGTTAATTCAAATTCAAATTCAAAAATTATTTATTCATGTAGGATATTTTAGCCGCTTATGAACGTCAAGTTTTACATTATAATTTTTTTTCCCTACCGTCCAGTTTGGTATATAGATCCAATTGAGAAGAACTGGCAAGAAACTCAATTGATTTTTTTTTAAAAGCCAGTTTATTTACAATGTATATTTATATAGGTGTCTATGTCTAACATTAAATGAAAATCCAGTGCATGAACAACTATTGCCATGCACGCTCGTCATTTAAGTAATCGTTTAGTGAGTAATAGGCTTTGCTCAGTAAATATGATTTAATAGATGTTTGAATTTATTGAATTATAATTCCAATATATCCTTTGGTATCTTATTGTAAATTTTTATACCTATTCCCATAAAAGACCTATTGACTTTTTCTAAACGATACTTGGGGACAGCAAGTTTGTTTTTAAATTATTAATAAGTATGTCTTTAATTTAATAATGAGATGTAGCAGTAAAATTATAATTAAGTAACTTACCAGCGCAACTTCGTCTGCACTTGTTTGACATTTAACATTATATTTCGCAATTTACATAATATCTCTTAATTATAATTTTATTCTGATATATAAGATATATTACTGTATAGTTTAATGAAAATTCGTTCAGTAGATTTTGCATGATAGAGTAAGAAACATCCATCGATCCATCCCTACTCACAAATTTTCGCTTTTTGAGTATTAGTAAGAAGTAAGATGAATTGCAATTGCAAAATGGCAAATACTGTTGCTTCTCCTGTTGTCTCATACAAAAGAAAACGCATTAAACAATTAGAATTTTTAGTCTATGGAATCCACAGATCTGTAGGAAACGTTTTCTTCAAGACATAAACAATAGCAAACTAAAAAGATGCAGAAAAAAAAGAAAAGGTAAAACGGGCCGACAGTCGCGGAGTACTAAGCTCACATAAAACACGGGGAGTCTCCGAGGAGAAAAACTCAAGTGATTTATCGTGAGAAGAGCGACATCTTCGGCCTTTATTCGGGTGCATGTACAGGTACCTCCGGGCAGGTGCTGCCGCCCTGGTGGAGATTATTTATATGTTGCCGTATCATTTTTTTCCGTCTCCCCTAATTGTTACAAAAGTGTAGCTGAAAAAAAGATGAAATCTTATTTTGATAGTTTGCTGCAGCGGGACAATACTGCCGGCTTCCTGAGTACCCTAAAAGTCTGGAACGATTTTAAAGATTATTCTTTTAATGTTGATTTTATGTAAACAGTAATTAGGTATAAAGGGTATCAAGGTATCAAGTCATAGAATACAACTGTATCTCTTTTACCAAGAAATTAAGAGAAAAATTGCAGAATAAATGATCAACTTTCCATATTAACTTAATCATGTGACCACGCAGATAGTATTCAGATTTTTAGTTTTGTATTGCATTATTTTTTTCTACTAAAAGAAAAAACTACCAAATATAACATGATTACAAAAAGTTCTTTACCATCATTCACATGGCAGCCACTTCGGGTTACTTTCTCTAGTCGTATTACCATACAAAACGTCATATCATACTTACATCTTACACTTAGTCATTTCATTCCCAACGGAAAACATTTATAAACTATTAAACGATTTAAACGTTCCAATTAATTAGATAAAAATTAAAAAAAAGCACTAGCAATCACATCTAGTTATAAAGTTGCCTATTTAAAAAGTATTAATAAATTATAAATAATGGAAACAATTAAATACAAAAAACGCGGGAAGCCAGGTGAATTCAACATGGAAAATATAAAAACGCGCGTCGCAAACATGGCCGCCGCGGTCCGAACACCTACAATGGTACGAGACGAGGCATCTTTACAACGATAATTAATAGTGATTATCGAGTAAAAATAATTGTCGGTTTCTTTAAATTATGCCCCTCGAAGATCTAATTTCCGATTCGTGCAATCACTGTTATTATAAAATCCACCGTTCTTTTACACGAATGATAGAAATCAAAACAGTTTTTCGACGCACCGATTGTTTTAATTCGGAAAAGAGAAAAAGAATTATGAATGTGTAATTACTATCTTTCAAAACAAAACTTTGGCATTGTTCTCTATGTTTTTGTTGATTCTAATTGGTGTTTAATAATTGGTTATACATTTGTGAATGTTGGCTCTAAGTCTTGTAAAGGAATAGGTAATATGGATATTAAAAAAATGCTTGTAGGTTGAAACAAGCAACATATGGCGCAACCCTTGTAAAAAAGAATGTATTCATTAAAACTAATAGTTTTGGTATGCATAACATTAACACAGTTATAAACGTATAGATCTCTAATCTTGAATTTAAAAATTTGGCTGTATAGCCTTCTGTTCTTAGCTAGGATAATAAACAACTATTATAAACGGACATATATTAAATATATAAGTAACTAGTATACAAAATAATATCTCATATTATTGAATAGAATTTATACTGCCAGAAATTGTTTTATTGTATTGTAGTGAACGTACAAATACTAATATTGTTGCTAGACTACAAAGTTTAAGTAACTGGCAGTCAATATAAAAATAAAAAAATTATATATATTTTTTTAAACAAAACCGTTACAGTTAATATAGACGATTTCGCGAATAGAAATGTTTGAATAATTAAATAATATTTACTTTCATTGTGAAGGTTAATAAAACCCACAAAACATGTAATATAGCCTTTGTGGGTGTCACACACGAGCGGCTCGAATATAACGGGCATATTTAGACAATTTCCTTAACAAATCCCCCGGTAAGGGGCTCGCCCTCATATAAATAATATAGCATTGCCACCTCGGCTCGCCCTATTCTGAAATTCGCCAGGTTATTACAATTTTTCGCGTTATGAATATCGTCGCGAGGTGCGCCTTAATATCCCCTCACGCCGCGCGCCGGGGGAGTCACACCTCAGCAATTTTACTTTAATTCTTATTTAGAGTGCCGCCTTATTTCGGTTACAAGATTTTTAGTATTTGTTTATGGCGTTAACTTGTACCTTGACTCCGCGATGGGGTCGTTTTCGCTTTTTTTTCAACGATGTAATTTTACTTTGTATTTTCGAGTTAGTTCTCCACTTTGGGGGTGAAAAAATCACGCAAATTGGCAGTAACGCGGCAAAATTACACCAGGACAACATAAGATGGCGCGAATGTTTTTTAACGAAACACCGAGGTCAAGGGCTTTTTATTTTCAAAAATCGAATGTTCATTCCGACTCGCGCCGAGCGACGTCATTGCTCCACTATCAATCATGCATGCACCATTGCGCTGCGCACGCTTTTGTTCGAATTACGAATTTCAAAAAAGGAACATAACGCGAGAGAAAATTATGGTGGTTGAGTTCTTTTTGAAATTTGAATTCGAAATTTGCCCCCCGTAGAGTTGGCCGCTGCATGCATCAAGCACGCTGCACTACATTACGATATGTACCTACAATTAAGGAATTAAAACGAGCATTGCTCTTTTTGCGCCGCAAATTTATACGATATGTTATATTTTCATTAGGTTTATTTCGCTCGGTGACTAATAGCATCAATACGTGAGTTCACCGTGCACTCTATTATCAAGCAAAATACTTAATATTATACTGTGTGACATCGTTAAAAAAAGTAGCGAAATTGCTAATGGTGTATGATATTGCCTCCCCTTATTTTTAGGGTAAGAAAAGACTAGGGGTGGCAACACCTTCGTTCTCCCAAGAGGTATTTTTTTTACTCCGGTATTTTTCTTTTTTTGTGTTTTTGCGTAATGACGCCGAGGTCCTGGGAGAGTTGGACGAATCCATTAGATAGGCGGGAAGAGCTTAATGTAGCAGTTTTTTTCTTTGGAATCGAAATCGGTTGAAAAAACGATGTCGCACGCATGTGTCGCCCTAGAGGACATTAGTACGAATTGTAATGGGGTTTTATCTGTACGCGTCGGTACATACGTATAAGGAGGGTCGCGATTGCTGCGTTCTGTTGCTATACCAGTTAAAAGCACAGTTAAATAAATTTTATATTACAACAAACAGCTGTAGACCGTAGAGAACGCCTATTTAGTAAAAAAATATGAAAATCTTATATATAACCAAACTTTATTTCGTATTAAAAACAATTAAGTAATATTTTTTATTGATAAAACTATTTACGCAATAAAATATGTTTTAGTCTCCTGAATTTTTAAATGCAGAACGTTCTAAATTCAAATGTTTGTTGCAGGCAAATGGTGCCCGTCGCGGCGCGAGTGGTCGTCACCGCCGGACGTCGCGCGGCGGGTGTACTCCTCAGTGTTTCTGGGTAGCCCCGGTGAGTACCCAGGTAAATATTGCCGGCGGGCGCACGCATGTTCACATTCTATTTTTGAATTTATTTTTTATTATATTTTTAATTATTTAGGATTACGACGTGCCAGGATTGGAAACTTGCTGTTTTAGACTATAATTATGACCGTAACACTTTTATACACTTACATATATCCGTATTTTACGTTTTGTAATAAAATTAGTAAGAAAATATCGAAACTGAGGTCATACGGATGGAATCATAACTGCAGTAGAAAAGCATGAGAGATGTCTATGGTCTATGGTATACCTACTCTATTCCAGCTACATAAAAACAGAACTTATATGCATAAATGGAAAGTTATAAATATAAAAACGTATAGTAAGGTCAACGCAGGCATGGCGCTACCGTAGACAGATAGCTATCCATCACGCCGCGGCATTTCTGACGTGAACACATTGGAAATCTTTACAAGGTCAATAGGAAAATGTATATAGATAGACATCTACGTGGAATATGTTTTTATTTACAATTTATAACTAACTTCTGCCGGCGACTTTGTCCGCAGGGCCATTTAATTGACACAGTATACTATTTGAAATTCTTGCTAATTCTTCTCAACTGAGTTGATTTTTTTTCTATGGTACATAATTACATAAGTGCTATAATAATAAATATGGACTTTGTCTATGACGGGGATACAGATTATAGGTACTGGTCTGTTCTGATAACTATGACAAATTTATTTTCTATTACTCGAGTAAATTATATTTATGTCAAATTTGCTATTTGCCAGTTTGTACATAGGTACTCTTAAATCAATAATTATTTCTATTATGAATTACATTTTAAGGATTTTCTGTGTCTATATTGATTTAAGAGAGCAACACACAAGTTTCTTGCTCATTCTTCTTGTGATGAATCTGCATTCCAAATGAGTGGTAGAATAAAAACAGTATGACTATTTAAAAGTGCTTATATTAAGTTTATTTGAATAAAGATTATTTCTATTATCCTTCTGCATCTCAGATTGTGATATTTCAAATCCATTACGAATGGTAAAGCCTAACAAACAATAAACAAACTCATTTTCATATATAGGACAGTTGCAGTTTCTTATTTCATATTGATTTTAAGACTTGCGATCATGTACCAAGTATTTCAGATTATTTAAGTAGATACCTAATATTTGCAATTGCAGTTGCGAACCGTAGGTAGGTAATCTTATATTGTATATATAAAAGTAAAAATATAATACAGTATAATAATAAAAGAAAGAATTTAACACCTATACCTAAAAAAATAAGGATATATTTAAATATAACTGATGACAAATAACCTATACACTATAATGAGCTGACGAAATGCGCGCCATTACTGCATCTGACATCTGTCGCCGCCATTTTGGACTCTATGGTTTCCGAAATAGTGATGCGCGGGGTACGGGTACGAGTGATGTCGCATTGTATCGAGTGCGGTACGAGTCTAGTATCGATATTGAGTGCGCGCGCAGCGAATGACAGGCCATCGCTCATCTTTATCGGCACGATCTCGATGTCATCTCCACGTTGCAAGGTCGTGCTATCGAATACTCACGAGTGAAAATCGTAGAAATTTATTTAAACGTACTTATGGAATTTATCTACTGGACTGTTTTTTTTTTATTAAGATAAATAAATTACCCTGGACTATTAACACGGCGTCATCTAGTCCCACGGTAAGCAGAGCTTGTGTTATGGGTACTAGACAACTGATGTAAATACTTAGATTTTTTTTGTAAATACATACATAATATAAATAGAAAACACCCAGACCGATACAAATTATCATACTCATAATTACAAAATGTTTGGACCGTGCGAAGAATTGAACCCGCGACTATCGGAAGTAAAGCGGTGTGCTAACAGAAGACCACCAAAACCGCCAAAAGGCATGTGAAATACAGGCCACTATATTTCGAAAAGCAAATTCTAAATCGTCATTTCATTTAATGTTTCTATCAATTTCCCTTTCTGGCTCTAGTTTGTAGTGTTTCTTTAATAATGTATATAATATATAAGTAAATATATTACGACAATTCCCTGTGTTTGCTGATGGTGCTTACTCCTTATTGCATCAGTTACCTACCAAAAAAGTCCCGTCAAAATCGGTCCAGCCATTTTAGATATTAGCCGGAACAAACAGACCGACAGACAGACAGACAGACAAATTTATAAAAAATGTTATTTTGGTATATGTGCCATATATATATTCATATGCGTGTAGTTAAAAACGGTTATTTCAATCTATACAAATCTATACATTTTTAATTCGTTTCATTGTGTTAAAATGCTTCAAACTCTGTTATTAGTATTTAATGTTCATATAACGATATATCTTCTTAAATATAAAAATAAATTGCAATCTGTGTGTCCGTTTGAAAAATAAGATATGTATATATTTTTATATGCTGTTCATATACATATATAAGTGTATAATACCATTTTCTATTATTATACATCCATCTAGAGCCGTTTCTTTAAAAAAAAATCACATCGACTCCTTTAAAATGATTAGATCACAAATACCTAATTTGCAAGTACTTAATAAGTAATGTTACTTTATTAGGTTGACATAATAGATTACCACAGAATATACAATCAATCTTTTTAATAAACACTCAATAGGCTCATGCATAATTGTATACAGCCAAAAATTAGCCATACAGTGGTATTGTGACAACATGCCCGAAATATAATAATCACTCATGTAATTTCAATTACGATACTACAACGCCATCTATCCGAGCACGTCTAACAACAACGCCCGTCTTCCCACCATCAATCCAAATTACACTTTACGACATTCCGATAGAGATACAATTACCGTAACGACGGAATGCACTTGCACCGTTAACGCGTTATACAAGGAAACAATATCCATTTCACTCGCGCACGTGTGTTTGACACGTTACTATCTCCCTCTTGTTTTAATACGTCAGAATCATTGCCCGTTTCCATTACACTATATCAATTACCGCATGTCGCTCACTTGACAGTCATTTTAATATATGTATATTAGATTACAGATTTTTTCGGAATACCATAACTTAATTAAATTCCATGAAACAGTATGTCAATGAATTTTATGGAAATAAAAAGATTTGTAGAAAATAACGGATATGTACTCGATATATACGTTTAGAGGAAATATGTTTTGGTTTTATTACTATACCTATTTTCATATAACAAGACGTTCGAATGGCCACTATCGAAGACGGAACAACTATGGATCGTGTTAACCAGCACCCAACAAAAACTCTGACAGAAAGAGAGGTTACGGGGAAATCGATTCCATCGTCAGCTGCAAAGGTTTCGGCCGTGACGAAAGAGCGCGTGCGATCGCGTCTTTACGACGTGTGAAAGAGATAAAACAATTCCTTATGTCGCTATTCTTAAGTCGTTTACGCGTTCGAAATGGCACTTTACCGGCAGACATTAAGGTCGCAGTTTCATTGTTGTGATTGTATATTGACGATTGTGAGGTATCGTAATGGAATGTTATAACTTCATTTAGCGGTATTAGTGATTAGATCCTTGTGCTGTAAAAAAATAAGGTCGTTATTTGTTTGTGTAGTAGGGGGCGATTGACGGCCTGGAAGCCAGGTGGCGGTTGCTATGGTAACCGGCGCGTTGGAATGCCCGCGTACAGCCGACGGGAGCTGGGTTCCCCGCATTTGCGATATTCCACTTTATTAAATAATTATATTATAATTACTATTTAATTTTTCTGTAAATTATAATGTACTATATATAATTAATGTAACTTCACGATACAATGCAAGATGAATGTGCCGTATAAATCACTAAAGGTCACCTTAAATTGAATAATATATTTTTCAGTTACAATTTTTTGCATCTATTATTTTCTTCATGTCGTACACATGATTCTTACTTATATTATATGAAAAAGTGAGTTTATTTATTTATTGCTGTTTCATAATTTAACGACTTTATATTAATGTTATAATAATTTAAAAAATCAGTTTGTCTGTGAGGTTATTGTCTGTTCTTCTCAATTGAATTTATATACTTAACTGGACATTAAGAAAAAAATATTAATACATAAAACTTGCCGTTCATAAGCGGCTAAAATGTCCTACATTAATAAATTATTTTTCATTTGATTTATGTTAGTATTTTGGAATATAAATATAAATAGACATTTACTTACCAATCAATCAGTATATCTCAGCCAAGCAAGCGAAATCGCTCTTAAAACCTAGTTCAATTACAACAGTAGGTAAATTATTCTTAACTTTTTATTAAATTTATTAAAAATCTTATTCGGAGTTCTGTTGCAAATACTTACTTTCGATATTTACTTAGATTCAGAGTTGGAGTGAGAAGAAGTTCTTCAAATCGACGGGACTTTTTTGTGACGAAACAGGATGTTAAAATTTTATTCTCAAGATTACTATTCATATTTAATATTTGCCATAATTACCTACTGATATGTCACATGTAAATGAAATAATTACATGGCATATGATATCACTTAGGAACAATATCTAAAATTACTTATGTTTGTATTCTCTCCACATTATTAGAATACACGTTTAGTTGTAATTTATAATTAAATAATGAGCGAGATGGGATGTCTTTGATACGCAAGCGTGAGCAAGCTAGCATTAAATTGCTCAATTTGTGCCTCAACTCAACGTATTCGGGTTCCTTTTTCAAAAAATCCAATGAGATCGATCGCTGGCCATGTCTGCAAATTAGAGCGGGAATTGTTGTTCGTTAGTCATTACTATATACCGAAAGGTCCTAACCGACACCGTGTCTTAATATCGAAGTGGTTTTTATTACTGTGTACATAGAGGCGTGGTTATACACGCTAATCTTAATCTACGTTTGGAGAAATTCAAAGCTCACCGCTCGAGTGCGCAGAAATGCATTTCAGTATTACTAGTAGTCTCGGGACTCATTTTAGTTGAACCTTTTAAGCTCGGCGTGTGTACGGTTGGCGCGAGGTCACGCAGCGAAAATCGCTCT